TCCCCCAGGATGAACTTTCCTTTCTGTGATAGAGAGGTGACTGCATCAAGCTTTGGGGCTCATCTAGAACAGATTAAGCATGTGTTAATCCAGAGGCTCTAAAACCATCATTAAACTACAGTAAAGTGTGAAATAATTCATATAAATTAATAATTAGCACCAAGAGTGGTATGGAATGTACACCTCTCTCCCTTTAAGGCCACAGGCACTATGCTGCCACCTCCTATCAATCCATGTCTTAAATTGCAGGGTAAAGTTAACCACAAATAACAAAGTCATGGAATCAAGCTGTTACAAATTGGCCACCACATCCTAAAGGCATTTGAACTCTCTCTCTCTCTCTCTCTCTCTCTCTCTCTCTCTCTCTCTCTCTCTCTCTCTCTCTCTCTGTGTGTGTGTGTGTGTGTGTAGGAAAAAAGCAAGCAAGAAAAAAGAAAGAGAAGAGGAGGAAGATGTAACTGGAGATGTAACTGGCTTGGCTCAAAAGGGGCAGGAGAAAGCAAAGGGGCCTTGGCCAGTTGGAGGAAGAAGCAGCTCCCATCTGCTGCCTCATTCTTCACACACCACTCTGAGAGTTGGTATTATTTTCTCCATTCACAATTGAGAATCTGATCCAAGAAGCCAGAGATAAGAGCTCCTAAGCAACAGAGTTGGGATTCACACCTGAGTTGGTCTGGTTCCAATGTTCTTGCTATTTCTAATGTAAGCATTTAAGCCTCGACCCCTCAGAGTTTATGCTAAACTTGGCCCTAACCCTCTGCTGTGGGACAGGGTTTCTGTGACTAAATGGCCATTAGTAAAAGTGTTACATACACCTAAAACACAGAGAACACTCAAAATGACTCTTTGAAATGAAAGCTAGGCTCAAAGACAGCCCACTTTCAAGGGGGCCTGGTTTCAATGGCCAAATGCTAGAGGAAACAGCATTAATGGAAGTTACCTTTCTGCTGGGCTTGCAAAAGTTAGGCTCATGAATCCAAGAGAAGATTACGAAGGAGGAAAGAGGGTTGGAGACTGCAGCCTCAGGAGGTTCATGCATCTCAGAGGCCAGAAGGTTGGCTTTTCCATTGTGCAATTAAGCCATTCTATCCAGCCTCACTCCCAGTTTCCAATTAATGTGCAGTAATGAATCCAACTGCCCAAAAACATTTGCTAATTGAGATGCCTGCTGGCCAGGTCATCTTCCCCCCCACCTCCACCCACCCTTTTTCTGACACCAAGTTCCCTCCACTGTGCCAAGGCAAATGTTCTAGTTTGCTTTCTATTGCTGAGATAAACAATATGTCCTAAAGCAACTTGGGGGGAGAGTTTATTTCATCTTGTCTGTTGTTATAGTCTATCATTAAAGAAAGTCAGGGCAGGATCTCATGGTAGAAACTAAAGCAGAGGCGGTGGGGGAACACTGCTTACTGGCTTGCTCCTCAGGCTCATCACATTCAGCAACCTTTCTTATACCTCCCAGGACCACCTGCCCAGGAATGGCACAGCCCAGAGTGGGCTGGAGCCTCTCATATCAGTCATTAAACAATAAAATTCTTTCACAGATTTGCACACAAGCTAATCTGATGGGGGCATCGTCTCAATTAAGGTTGACCTTTCCCAGATGACTCTAGCTTGGGTCAAGTTGAAAAAACCCTAACCAACACAGTAGGATAGTAGAGGCTCCTGCCCCTTTCAACCTTTCCTCTGTACAAGGGGAAATGCCCAGTGTACACAAGCAGTAACTTTCTGAGACCAAAGTCACCAGTGGAAATTGCTACTCAGGTTTGACAATTGCTCTAATTGAAAATTCTTGACTGATCCTGGCTTTATTAGTCTCTTGGCCATTGGCAATGGCTACATATCAGTAAAAGCTTTAAACTTGGAAGTTCTGAATACAGAACCTAGACTTTTGTTTACAAGTAGGTTGACTTCTGGGAAGTTACTACCAACCATCTGTTTTTCACCTGGAAAATCAAACTAATAGAACCAACCCTGGAGTCACGGTGAAGAGAAAATGAATACAATACAAATGCATCGCATTTTTTTTTAATGTAGAGGGCATGGTCAGTCTGGATATGAGGGCATGTCTTCCCCAGCTAAGCACAAATTTGCCAGCGATTGGTCAAATACACAAGGAGGTCTAAGACAAGGAGGTCAGATGAGTTGGGATGAAGGCTTATAGACAGGAAATAAGATGGAAGTGAAAGGGCTGGAGGAGGTCCATGATGGGTCAATAGAGATAATCCTGAAAGGAAATGAACAGACGAGCTTCCAGTGGTGGTTTGAATGAACATGGCCCCCATAGGCTCACATAGCTGAACACTGGGTCCCCAGTTGGTGGTGCTATTTGGGAAGGTGTGGCCTTCATGAAGGAAGCACATCACTATGAACAGGCTTTGGGAGCCTAAGGCCTTGCCATACTGGAACTTTATTCTCTATACTCTGTGCTTATGGTTCATGGAGTGAGCACCCAGCTTCCTGCTCCTGCTACCATGCCTATTGCCCTTGCTATGGATTCTAACCTTGTGGAAGCATAAACCAAAATAAACTCATCTGTAAGTTGCCTTGTTTTGTCACAGCAACAGAAAAGTAGCTATGCAGTTCCCTGAGAAATCAGGTGGGAATGGAAAATGAGAAGGAAAACAGAGCAGGAAGACAGAAATCCCGGGGCTCATTGCCCATATGTCCCCAGTTTCTCAGCCACCCACAAATCACAAAACATAGTGACTGTAGTGCAATCCATCTACCTGACTGGAGTCTCCAAAATACATTATAGCCTTAATATTATTTCCTTCTCTTCCTTCTTATAAAAAGTACACAAAAGAGGCACTTCCTCCTTGGCCAACATTTCTTTGCCCCTACAATGTAGGGGATATAAAAATCAACACTTGGGGAGAAAAGTTGGTAACATTTATCAGGTAGTAAGCTTGGGAGGTCAGCATTTCAGGGCACCTGCCTTGTCATATTACTGTTCCAGAGGATGAATGTTGAAAAAGAAAACATGCTGGTTTTCCACAGAAAAAGGAAGAGGCCATAACACAAAGAAAGCAAAGGAATCCAATCACTAACCCAAACCCTCAGACTTCCCCAAAGGAGGAGAGATGGGCCACCAAAGTAAAACTAGTATAGTTTGCTTTGACTTGAATTCTAAGCAGAATAAGGCTCGTCGTTGGAATCCTGTTCAGGTCCTGGGAAACCCCAGTGAAGGCTCAATCCCTAAGGCTGCCAGTGGATGAGGCAAGAGAAGTATGCAGGAACAATGTACAGGACATGTGTTGCTGCTGTTGTGGCTGGACATACTGTGTCTGATGCTGGAACTAGGGCTTTAGTGACAGCACATCCCAGTGGTCCTCCCACTCCTCCTGAAAAAGGACATGCCACATAAGTCAGCTTTCTCAAACCCACTGCCCTCTGTTGCTATCTAATGCAAACCATGGGTTATCTGCCTCTGTATTTACAGTGTTTAAAATGAGAACTTAAGTCCCTTAAAATTCGTCCTACCCTAAGAAAGAGAGTTCAGATACTATAAAGCATAGTGGCAGGGACGGAGGTGTGGGAGGCATTTTGCCTCTCCTGGTGGCCCCAAGGCTCAAACCGACAGACAGATATCAAAGAATAGTGGCTGTTTTTTCACTCATTTGTTCAATAAATATGTATTGAGTGCCCCCTTCGTGACAATGTTCCTGTCATACTGCTGATATGAAAAAGAGGCCAATTCCCTTCTGTCTGAGATCTGGGAAAGCAGATATTAAAGCAGGAATTATAAAAGAGTGAGTGACATGCTCAAGTGTATCAATGAGGAGAAATGAAGACATGCCACAATAGGCAAAACAAGGAAGTGATCCTAAAGATTGCTTAATTCAAACTCTCCCTTCACAAATGAAGAAAGTGAATCTTCTAAAGGGGAATTTAATGAGTTTAACTGAAAGCTGCTGAAGTGAACGGTTGAGGGTGTCACCAGAAACAGGTGAGTATCCTGTTCTTAAACTTTTGGAATGGGGCCAAAAGCAGTTCTGATTTTGGATTCTTTCATATTTTGGAATATTTGCATACACATAATGAGATATCTTGGGGATAGGGTTCAAGCATAAACACAATATTTGTTTATGTTTTATATATTCATTGTCCATGTGGGTGGAATACAATTTGGGGCAGTATTTTTGGTATGCCCACATTTTGACTGTGACCTATCAGATGAGGTCAAGGGAGGAATTTTCTACTTACACCATCATGTAGGGACTCAAAAAATTTAAGTTTTGGAGAACTCTGCTTTGTATTTTCAGACTTAGTACTCAGTTTGTGTTATGATCTCATTGCCAATCTGTCTTTGAGAGCTCAAGAGGTTATGTGGACTTTAGAGTGAGTCCCGTCTCTTCCATAAAACCTCCACAGATTACCTCAGCCTTAAGCAATTCCTACATTTTATGAATTCCAAGCTCTTAGTTGACTGGAATGCTCAGATCTAGTGCACTGGACTCCAGTTAGAGTGTAACAAGATGCAGCTCCCATGTAGGAACTTTGGCTCTCCACACCATGGCAACAGCAGGAGCCAGAGCCACTCAAATCTCAAAACATTCTCATCCCTCTACATAATAGGGGATTGCCAGTATCCTCAGAGAAGTAAACCGTGAAGAACTTACAGTCGTCATAGGCTCAGTGACCTTGGAGGCGACCTTGTCCCTAGCTGAGCACTCTAACCTGAATAGTCTGCCTCTCTGAGATGGGGCCCAGTTTCAGATCTTTAAAACCATCCATACCTCCTTCCCCATTCCTCAGGACTTAGCTTTACTCCATCCCTTTGCTCATGCCCTCTCCTAGAACCTAAACTTCCTTCCATTGAACTCTGACATCATCATATATGGCTCCTGTTACCTCCTGCCTACCTTCCCCAGAGATGACCACTGCCAGCCCAGACATTTGCACCCAAGTCATCTCTCTGAGTCATGTTTCGCATGCTCCAACCTCAATCTATTGTTTGATTTCTGGTTAAGTATTCATTGTCCATCATTTCTCCTCACCCAGCAATCAGTTTCAGATGCAAATTTTGACTGATTTTCCCCCTATTCATTTCCTCCAGTTACAGATCCATCACTAGCTCCAGTCTTTCCTCAGAATCCCAGCTGTAGGTTGGTGTTGTCAATATCCATTGCTATGGCCAAATACCTGAGAGAAATAAGACAACATGCTTTAGATTTTGTTCATGGTTTCAGAGGCTTTAGACCCAAATCACTTAGCCCTGTGGTGAGGCAGAACATCAGAATGGCATAAGCATGTGGCACTAGTGGCTGCTTGCTTTATTGCAGCCAGAGAGCAGAGACAGAGAAAAGGACCAGGACCATATAGGCCCTTCAAGGACAGGCTTCCAGTGACCCATTCCCTCCACACAGCTTCCACTCTCTAGTTTCCACCAACTCCCAATAATGGCATCAAATTATACATTCTTCAATGAATTTATCCATTAATCTCACCCAGTCCCCTCATGATCCAATCACTTTCCACAATACTCACCTGAAACACCACATTGAGGACTGAGCCCTCAACCTGTGGTCTTTCTAAGGGAACACTTCACACCCAAACCACAAGATTCATAACCATATAAGCCTCTGGGACAAGACTAAACCAGGGTCATCTTTGCAGTCTACCCAAGTTCTCACATCTAATAGTTTCCCAGCGACTCTTTGAATGGTGGCCAGGTACTGACATACAGGCATAGTTACCACATGTCACAGACAAGGGCATCCTGAATGGCCTGGTTAATCCTGGCTGTTGAGTGAGTCTTAGCATCCTGTCTCCTCTGCTAGTTCAATCAGCTCCTGTTTTCTAATTCTAAACCAAAGCTGGAGTTTTCAACCCCTAACTGTTCTCATCCCAGTTGCTTGGAAGTCATAAAGATATAGTCAATGCTCTAGGGAAATATAGATAAATAAATAAAAATAAATAGCGCTGCTTCAGATTTAGCATTTTCATCCAGGTCCCTACCATGTCCCACACTCCTCTCCAATTTGTCTTCTCTTCTCCTCCCTCTTCCACCCCACTACCTACAAAGGAAAAATAATAACAAATAGGAAGGCTAATTCTAAGTTAGTACAGTCCCAGCGTGTATCCTGGCCTGCCTCTAGTCCTGTTATTTTCTCCTGTGTCTGGCTTTGACAAGACTGATGACATTTACGTTTTCCAAAAGCTTCAATAAAAGGCACTTTAGCTGCAATCACCTCCGTCTAATTTCCCCAGTCAATTTTTTTTTTTTGCTTAAATCACACAACAGAACTGAGGCCTGAGCTGTTCTGACAACTTGTCATCGAATAGGGATCAGCCCAAATGGGATGTCTTGAAAACCAAGGACAAAGGAGGGGAGAGAAGCAGACTAAGTGGCCTGAAAATGAAGTGGGATGCTAGGAAAAGAGAGACTGGCAGGAGTCAGTGGGTTAAAATTCTGGTACAGGTGTGTGAGGAAGCTCTGGAGCCAGAACAAACAGAAAGCATATTTCTTTCCCTAAAGAGAAAGCTAAAGGATGCTGGGTCTAGAAAGGCCCATCGTTCCATTGTACAAGGAGTCTTCAAAGAGAGATGGTATCTGGAGCACAAGCATCAAGCTTAGAGGATGGAGCCCAAGGGGGCAGGATGGATACCTTCCTTCTGCAACATGCTCTGGAGAGCAAGGTAGCATCCAGGGGAAACCAAAGCCCAGATTTCCTGCTCCCAGGAGCACAGTGGCTCAGTGTGGAGTAAATACACTAGATAAAATTCTCCACTCTTTTTTTTAAAACAGATTTATTTGTTAGTGTTTATTTACACCAAAAGTGTCCAAAGTATAAGAATTGTTTCAGTCATTTTCACAGGGTAAAGTCATTCACAAAATCACCACTCATGTCAAGTAAAAGAACATGTCAAAAATCTTACACAAACTTCTTGTAGCCCCCCACTGGGAGCTCTATGACAGAGAGTTCCAGATTCATTTTAAAAACTGTAGGTTAGTTGTGCCCATTTTTGAAATTACTCTCAGGGTGTGTGTGTGTGTGTGTGTGTGTGTGTGTGTGTGTGTACACATGTGTAGATAAGAGACAGAGACAGAAATAGAAAGAGACAAAGTCATGTTGTTACACATACTAACAGTATTCATTTTGATATACTGTTTCGTAGCATTCATTCATGTTTCATATCATAATTACTTATTCTTTATGGCATTCATAGATACTTGTTTTTTCCAATTTGGAGATCTTTTCTCCAGCTGAGTGTTTCTCAGTCCTGTCATTCTAGTTAGCCTCTCTGTTGCAGTGATAAAACACTGACCAAAACCTCCTTGGGATGAGAAAATGATTTATTGTTGTTACTGTTAGTTTTCAGATTACAGTCTATCACTAATGAAGACAAAGCAAGAACCCGGAGGCAGAAACTGATGCAGAGACCATGGTAGAATGAAGCTTACAAGACTATTTTCAATGGTTTACTCAACCAGATTTCTTATACCACCCAGGACCACCTGCCTAGATGGCCCTGCCCCGGGGGGCTTGGCTCTCCCGTATCAATAATTCATCAAGAAAATGCCCCACAAACATGCCCACAGGTCAATCTGATGGAGGCAATTCCTCAATTGAGGTTCTCTCTTCCCTGGTGACTCTAGCTTGCGTCAAGTTGAAAGAACAGCCTAGTGCACCTGGGGATCAAACCCATGGACTCCTGTATGCCATGCAAACACTTGACTTCTGAACTCCACCTCAGCTTTGCCGGGAGCCTTTGCTAACAGCACTTCCACAAAACAATCTTCCTGTTTTGGTGAACACAGATACAGTTCTGTCTCAGTTCGCATTCCGGAGTAAAACTGCTAACCCATAATTGTGATATGGCTTTGGTGGATAACAGCCAACCATTTTCCAAAATGGTCACATCAATTTATTTTTCCCCACAGCAGAGCAAGAGAGTTCCAGTTGCTGGACATTCTCAACCACATACAATGCTTAAATTCAGCCACTTTGGTGACTGTATATTGTTTGAATTCCTATTTCTCTGATTACTAAAGGTTTGTGCTCTTTTCCATGCACTACTGACGATTTGGTTCTGTTTTGTCAAGACTTCTGCCTTTTTTGTTTGTTTGTTTGTTTGTTTGTTTTTGCTTTTTGTTTTTCAAGACAGGGTTTCTCTGTGTATTCCTGGCTGTCCTGAACTCACTCTGTAGACCAGGCTGCCCTCAAATTCAGAGATCCACCTGTCTCTGCCTCCTGAGTACTAGGATTAAAGGTGCATGCCACCACACTTTTTTTCTATTGATTTAAAGAAATTCCTTGTCCCGTCTGGAAATAAGGCCCTTTGTGTTTATATACACCTGGGCCAAGGGTGTGGTGTGCTACCAACAGAGCATCATACCCCCAACCTCAATTCCTCAGTCCTTTCCTTTCATCTCCCAACTCTATTTCAGGCCTAGTGTCACTCTCCACTAACCATGATCAGCCCCAGCTTCCCTCCCGAGTCCCACACATTACTTCTTCCCCTTAGCTCCAAACAGTTTAGACAGCTGGAGAGTCAGTCATATCTAGAGGGAATGGAGCATGGCAGACAAGCAAACTCTTCCAATCCTTGTGCTCCAGTCCTGGACTTCACTCTGACCCTAATGCAGGACCAAAGCTCACTCACATCTATCAACTCAAAAAGGAGTTGAAGGTGGGTACAGAGCTGAACCCTTCAGACGGTGTCATCATCTCTGAAAATAAGAACATTAGGGGGGAACAGATGCATCAGGGGGAAGACGTTCATAGATCTCAGATGGTAAACATTTAGGAGAGACAGACTTGGCAGGAAATTTGTTTCCGAAAGGAAAGGCTACTGGTCCAGACAGAATTTGGGTCAAAATTTCACCTCATTGCTGCCTATAGTGACTAGCCATTTGAGCTGACTAATTTTAATCTTAGTTTTAACAAAGATTGCCTGGTTTTAACCCTTAAAGTTCTCCCTATCTCAATGCCAAGGGATCTGGCCAACCTACTGTTACCTCTTTAAGAGGAAGATGAATTTTCTGATGTTGGGCTCCAAAACATTCTCTATGTTACTTGTCCCAACATAGTTGGAAATGGGATACAAGGTCTATACCTTTGCTTCCGTATCTGACGCTTTGGTTATGTGACTATCCTAGAGTGTTCTAGAAACTTAGATTGAAACAAATGCAAATTTCTGAAAAAGGTAGGCAGATAACCATTTCTATGTTCCAAGATAATAGTGCCTACCAGGTATGGAGCACCACAACGTATCAGACATTCTACTAGGTGTTCTGGGTTAACAATTCCTGTTAATCTTCTCAGGTATAAGTACTACTGTCACCACTTCACTTGTGTGTGAGGAAATAGAGATGAAGGGAGCTTGAGCACTTCACTCAATATAATACACTTATTCACTCAAAGAGTAGGGTTCAACCTCCCCCTGCCCCAGCCTACTTCTAAAGGCCCTGGGTTGAGCAGTTGTGCTGAGCCAAATCACATCTAATTAGTCTGTGCTACCATGCTTTGACAGGTAAACGATGCTCTCTCACCTACCCCTCTCATACCTGTCCCGTGATAAGGTATTTTCATATGTATCAGCTCATCTGAGAACTACCTGACAGAGTTGTCATGGAATCAAGTCAGAGCCTTAATTTTTTTTAAAAAAAAAAATGCTTCTAAACAAAGGGATTGTTATTAATAATGCTGAGAGAAAATCAGAACATATCCACAAGGACTGGACAAGTAGACTTTGGCAGATTTGAGCAAATGTTTCCTCTGAAATGAGTTTTCCAAGCTTGATGTTCCATGTGTCTAAAGATATCAGAATCTCAATTTATAAAAGGAAAAAAAATATGAGCATCAAAGGAAAAGCAAAAGGCCAGGTGCCCAACAGCTCAGCTCCAGGACTCTGTTTCATAGGCATGAGAACTTACAGGAAATGGAATGATTTGGACATCATTTAAATTGTGCTTCCCAAGCTGCTTTCACACCTTCGGTGGTATGAAAAGTGATGTGAGACCTGTATAGGTGTACAGATTAGGTGCTCGTCTTTTAAAGGCAGGTACTGGTACACCTAGCAAGAAAAAAGAAAGCAATCAAAGTGGGGTAATCATCGGACTGGACAGACCTTGTGAAAGACCTTGTAGAGGAGATGAAAGATGGCCTTTGATGGGCTATACCTCAGCTGTGGACCCTAGAGAGATTTGTAGTTGTCAATGGGAATAGAAGAATATCTTCTCCTGGAACCTTCTCTTGATGCCCTGATATACAGTATGGACCTTTATCTAAGAACATGTTCAAGCACATAGACAACGCTAGCTCCAGTTTCAGGGGCTTCACAGACCCAACCCCCACCCCAGGACCTCTAGTCATAGTCAGATCCTCGTTTTTAAGGGAAGGAAACAGGATACACAGAGGTATGCTGACTTTCCCAAGGTCAGTAAGTGGGCTATAGACCCAAGAGGACTCTTCAGGTTCCCTGTATTGAGAACAGATCTATCCCTTCAGAAGAAATCAGGAGAAATTATACATTTCAAGGCTTAAGATTACATTTACTATTCTCCACTGGGATACCCTGTGTCTGTCCACCTTTTTACTGTCTGTGGAGTAAGATACACAGGTGTCCCTGAAGTGTCCACCACAAACATGAACCTAAGGTTCCTCTCCAAAGAGAATAGAAACTACCCAAGTTCCTGGCAAGAGACAGAAGAGGTATGAACAAGTGGCCAAATAGAATTTTTTAATGAATCTAGCAATGAAATTGCCTGTTCCAGAAAAAGAACGTATCCCATCATTTTCACTGATTCCAAATATGGATAGTTTCTGCCCTCTAGCAGCCTATTAGGGAGGAAGGGGACTACTTTTTCTTCACCCAGAGGACACCTAAGAGCCCTTCTCCCTAGCTTCTTGAGGTCAAGGACAGTGTTGGGAAACTGTCCTGCAACTCCCAAGGGTAGATACAGAAGAAATCCCAGATGGTATTATCATGAGCCAAGTTCACAGGCATAGCAAAACCTAGTGGGGGTGAGTCCTAGAGGGAATTCCTCCATCTTCATCTTTGTTCCTAGCCTAGCAGGAACTTCTAAGAGTCCTCCAACAGCTGGCTGAAGCCCAGAAGGTAATGAGCATGGATGATGCCAAGTCTGGAGGTGACTGTTAATTTGATTAATATCAAGGATCTATCATAATTATTGAAACATTTCACTCCACTTTCACCCATCTTTGCCCCAACCCGCTTACTATCTGGCCCTCTGCTTCCCTCCGGTTCCTTTCTCTTTTTTCTCTTCCCCATTTTTTTACAGGACTGTTCAATTAATTTACTTTCAGAAAATAAACTCCACTATTGGGAGCTTTTGCTTTGGAAGACTGAAGGCTGATTCCCTGCTGTCTTACAACCACTTCAACAGCAGTGAGTTAAGAGGAAGCCATTAGGAAGGAGAGCAGCCCGCTCCACTGAGCTCCCTCATGGCCTAGGTATACTGGCTTGCTTGCTTGGCTGCAGAGTAGTTACAGGCAGGTGAACTAGGGCAGAAAATCTAGAGGTGGGGGTTTGAGGAAGTTCTGTCCAGAGGGCCAGTGGGCTTGGAACGCAGAAGTTCCACAATACAGTGCCAATCCAAAACAAACAGGACAACTCTTGGGACCCCCTCCATGTTCAAGTACACCCAAGCTTGCATCTCCAGTTAATATAGATTCTTGGCTGGCCAGCTGGTTTTGTGCCAAGAATTACCTGTGAGCCTAAATGGTCATGGAGAATCCACCAATCTCTTGTCTTCAGGGCTTTAGTACTCTCATCTCTCCTGCATAAAATTTGCTCCCAAAGAGACAAGTTGAAAGTTTAGTTGTACTCAGTGAAGCAAAGACCTGTCTTCCCACTGTGATGCCGTCAGGGAAGCAGTGGCCTGTGTGGCAGCCACTTTGGGACATCACCTCACCTCCATTTGTTCTGAAGGTCACATACTGCCTGGATCATTCTCCCTGGATGCATACTATCTCATCTCCAGATGAGAGAGGCCATGGTCTTTTCTAACTATCCAGGGGTCCAGAACCCCAGCCTAAAATACTCCCCACTTTCCCTCCTAAGCCAGGTTCAGTGAATGAACCTGGGCCCCCAGCCTAAAGTACTCCCCACTTTCTCTCCTAAGCCATATTCCATAAATGAACAACACCCCTTCCAACCTTTCCACATAGTAACCAGGCCTCAGTTTCTTCTTTGTTGTCCTACCATGGGTAAGTTCCTTGTACTTTCCATTTCAAATGTCTTTTGCTTAACTAGCTATTCCATGAAACATAGCTTTGCACATGTTTCATCAGTATTTTGTAAATATGGACTCATTCCCATGCCAAGCTTCCTTTACAGATGGGTAACTGAGACAAGGAACACTTATAAGACTTTACCATTGTAGGCCAGCTAGCACGGCTGAGCCAGGACTCTAACCAAGGCCAGTCCATTCCATGCTCGCCATGTGAGGGCACACAGCTAGAGCATTGTCTTTCGGATCTTGTCAGAGTCTAGGATTGAGTGTCTTCTCACTGCACCCCACCCCCACCCCCACTGTCCAGTTACTCCCTTAACCATGCCATCTTTGCTGTAAGGATATTCTATGCCAAACTCTACTTCTGCTTGTCTTCTGCTAATTTTGCCTAGGCTTCTTGTCTCTAAAATAAGCAATGCAAAATAAACCATCGGCTTTCACCTGTCCCAGCTCTGTCTTGTCACAAATGACAACAGTTCCGTCCAGTTGTGTACAGGGGCAAAGATCATTATACCTGAGGCATCAATCAATACCTAGGGTTAATATGCAAGGCTTTCTGAAGATCTCACTTTCCAACCCCTGCCATGAGACTCCGTTCCTGCAGATCTGCCAAAACTCAGCAGACACACACTAGACTTGCATGTTTATAGAGCCCTATAGCCCAGATTTCAAGCTCTCACTCAGCTCTCCCATCCAATCCCTGTTCTGAGCTCATAGCAATATCCAGCCAAATCACGGGTCCTCTCCATACCAGTAAGCCACATCCTGATAGCATTTGACTTGGTACAGTTGCCGTCAGCGCCTTCTCACAGCCATGCTCATTCAAGGGCCAAGATCTTGAACAGAGCTTCAGCTGCCATGCCCTCTCCCTGGCTGGGCTTCTACAAGCTCGGCCTAATTAAAAACACCCCATCTTGTAGCTTTTGCTGGGAAGAGCTCCTGTTTCTCTCCCAAATCTGCATCTCATTTCTTACCAGTGCGTTCTCCCTTTGGGCCCCTTTGGTTTTCTAGAGCCTATTAAAACAGCAGTGCCTGCCTTATTTACATGAAATGAGGGTACAATAGATGCAGTTTCTTTCCTCTTACATTGTGAACAATTGACTCTCCCTCTTCCGCATGCTGCCCAGTTACTTGTCTTTCTCCACTGTTCTTTTCCCTAGGCTAGGATTTGAGCTTGAAATGTATCTTGTCGCCAGCCATCCTCTGTTACTTCTGGTGGCACTGGAAAAAAAGGAGTTTCTTGTGTTTCTCACTTGGAAATTGGCCACATGACTGAGGATGTGTCGCCCTCCACACAGGAGAGGAAATGTATTTGAGCCAAGGGTACCAGATTCCTGCTAAAGAGATGAAGGTAGACAACCTAAAAAAAATTGGCATTAGCTGTAATGCACTGGTTTTTGCATTTACCCTCACAGTAACTACATTAGACACTGGTTCTTCTAGATTAATAAGTGCTGTTGACAAAGTCAGGGAAGGAAAAGGAAGGAGATGGAAAAAATGAGCAACAGTAACTTTTATTGACTGTTAAGAACATGTTGCTAATACTTGCATAGTTGCCCAAGGCATCAGTCAGGAAAACTTCAGCCTGGCTTACAGAGGTACCTGTACCTCCAGGTTATAAATCTTAGCAACCTTCTTTTCTGATCATTATCATCGGTAGACCTTTGGTCTACAAGCTCTCCTCATTAGTACTCACTAACCCAACCCTCGAGAGACTGAATGACCACTCACTATTTTCACTTCAGACACTCATTTCTCCACCTACACAAGCCCAACACTGGGCCATTCAACTTCAGAGAAGTCATACTCAGAACCACATTGTGCTGGAATACCATGTGGATCTTGGCCTTGGTTCAGCAGCATCATTTGTGGAGCAAGAAGGACCCAGATTCTCCAACTTCATGGGCAATGCTTTAAGTGCCCTTAAAACTAAGAGACCCTTCTAACCCACTCCAGATGTTCCAAATGGCAAACTTTCTAATGTGTAACAGATGCTGCCTCAGCACCACATGACAAGATTGAGACTATATTCTTTCTGGATCCCTGATAAGAAAACCCAAGGAGACCCACTGAAACACAGCTAGTAACAGAGGAATATGTAGGCTCTGAGGCCATACTGCCTAGGCTCAGATGTTTCTGGACCACGCCCTCCAAGGCTATGCCAAGTGAAGAAATTAACTTCTCAGGGGCTCTGTTTTCTCATCTGTGGCATGGAAACAATAGGAAAAGCTAGTTGTAAGATTACAACAGATTTAAGTAAGTGTTTATGTTCTTGGCACACTGCATAAAGGTCATTTCACTTGATTTTGTTGTCACAGAAAGCATGGACTTGTGCCCCAGGAGAAAAGAGAATTTGAGGAAAGCACCTTGGACAAATAGTAGCAAGGGCATATTTACCCATCTCAAAGTCTTATTGAGACATCTGATCAGCTAGTTATTGGAAACAACTAGCTGATAACAAATAGCAAAACACTGTAAGACTCAGGGACACCATGCTTTTCCTTCTGGCACCTGGAAGCTGGCTTCTGTGTAAAGGCTCCTCTGCTTTCACAGGTCCTACTGGGCATACTCTGCCACAGCTGACATACTGGTCTCCCTCATGGGTGTTCTTTCTGGGATTTGGATGGACCCAGGGCAGCTTGCTGGGGATTGCTACCTACAAGCAGAAATATGTAATTCTTATTAGGGTGGCTTATGCATAACTGGTACCTTGTCATCTCTACCAATAAACCTCCAGACTGTTGTGGAATACTGCACTATGTAAAGATGTGCTGCATTTGTTTAATTATGTAAAGGTGTTTTGCTTTTGTTTGTGTTTCATTTGTTTAATTATATAAAGATGTGTTACTGTTTCACCTTGCCTGCATAAGGCACTTGATTGGCCTAATAAAGAGCTGAACGACAGTAGGTAGGCAGGGGAGGGATAGGTGGGACCGAGAGAATTAGTAGGAGGAATCTAGGCTCAAGAGAAAGGGAGGCGAGAACAAGCAAGAAAGAGACACCCAGGCCAGAAGCCAGACAGCTGCCAGACAGCCAGACACAGAGGAAACAGAAAAGTAAGATATACAGAAGAAAAGAAAGGTAAAAAGCCCTAAGGCAGAACATAGATAAAGAGAAACAGATTAAAACAAGAGCTAAGATAAGGCCAGGCATTCATAACTAATAACAAGTCTCCATGTCATGATTTAGGAGCTGGTTGGTAACCCAAGAGAAAGCCTGCTATATCTAGATAAAACCTCCTGTGGGTGCAGTAACACAAAATCCAGGTGTGTGTGTGGGGTGGTGCAGAATTGAATAGGAGAGAGAAGATCTTAGAATCACAAGCTGAAGGAGGCCAGAGGGAAGGATGAAGGCTCAGGACACCCATGGAGACAAGTACTTCTAGATCTACCTGCCTCCCGCCCTCCAATTTCCTCTATTTGCTCCATCAACCTTACATTCCCAGTCCTCCCTAGGTACCCAATAAGTACCCAAGCTTGTCTACAGGCACAACTGATTTACAAGCCTCCATGTACATGATGAGACACACCCTAAAAAATTTGTAGCCCTCCAAGCAATACCGCCACACTGTGCTCCTTGGTAAAAGTACAGTCCCTAGGGTCTCTGCCTCCTGTGGGGAAGGATATAGGATTTGCAGTTTCCAGGGAGCTAGTGCTGAGTGTCCATACCAGAGAGACCAGGCACTGGCAAACTCAGGAACATGCACCCTCATGCTTCTAGCTCAGACAGAAGCGAGAGAGACCTTTCCACTCCAGAGCTGGGCTTACCAAGCAGAGGCATTGACCCCCAAGTAAGGGCTTGGCCCCATTTTGAGGACAAAGTACAGTTAATAGCTTTGAAAATGCGCAGCTGGAATAAAAATTGTTATGAAAGTGGGTTCTTCAAATTTCAGATAAAAAGCAATTGCTGTGAAAGCTTCAGTCAATCGAGTCGCACCAAATGCAGCCAGATGACTTAATGCAGCTATGATAGAGTCAGGCGCTGGTGCTGGGAAAGGTCAAGGGGAGAGTGGGGGTCTGGAAGACAACAGCACCCTCTGTGTTTGCAGTCAGAAGACAAGGTGGGAGGGGGTGGAGAGGAGAGTTGTTCTCCTGCCTTGAGAATGAGGCCGTCTGCTACAAATGGGATTGACTAGCAAGCTCTGGGCATGCCCTAACAGAGAGGCTACTTGCTCACTCCCCAGTGGCCATGCTGGCCTGCTCTGTGTGGGATGTGTCCTTTTGCACCTGCCTGAAACCTGGTCCAGTACCCTTGTTGCTCTAACGTTCACTAAGGGATAATGAGAGTAAGCCACTATTTTGCTCAAGAAGCAGACAGACAGGAAAGTCAACACTTCGACACAATCTGGAAGTGTTGTCACCAAGCCCCATTCCTGGTGCTAGGGGAGTCTAGAGAGGCTGAAGCTGGTCAGGTAGGATGGTGATTGACTAAGCAAGGGCCCGGTGTGCAGTTCAGGAAGAGGGGGCAATTCAAGCAAAGGAGGGGGGCCTCTAGGACGTTCTAGACGTGTGCATGAATCTCCTTTGGTGGAGTGAACGCTGTCAGTCATAATGAGGAGTGTGGAGGGGCAGGCAATAGCCACCCACAAAACTCAATTTTCACCCCTGGAGAAGAGTCAAATGGGTGCTGTGCCCATAAGGAATGAGGGACTCGGAATGTATCTGTGCCACTTCAACTCTCTCTGTCCATATCTTAGTCCCAGGAGGTGGGAGAAAGAATATTTCCTTTTGATTTCCTCTGCAGTTTTCAGGTATCTTACACTTTCTTGATGGGAAAAACATTCCTGGGTTGTTGTGAGTGACAGTCCAGGATAGGACTGTCACCAAGTTCCAATAGCTGTGTGACTCAGCACCAACTCTGTCCTGCCCCTTGAACTGGAATAGATTTTGATAGGCCGGTTTGCCCATTATACTGTGAGCACCTTAATGATTTCCACCTCACACAATGCTTAGCCTATTGTCAGGAGTCAGATGAATAAAAGGAAGGGAAGGACTAATTAATGAAGGGGAAAAATCAATGAGGTCAAATGCTCCAGGAGGTGAGAGGACAGCCAATCACAATAGGAGTACCAAATGTAAAATTAACCTGAAATGGCATTGGGTAAATAATGGTGCTTTTGATCACAAAGGTATAAAAATACTTTGTTACAAAATGTACCACAAGAAACTAACACACAGAGGCCTTATGGGAAAAAAGCCCTGTGAATGATACCCTATGAAGAAAAGGATCTCATGCATGTGATGTATCCCTGGGGTGGATAGACACAGACACTACTAGTGAGTGGCTCTTTTATGTCAGGATAAAGGGAAGGAGGGTTTTACATGTACAAGAATTCCTGTCATCGGTATGATATTTTTGCCTTTTTGCGTATGAGGAAACCAAGACAAGGTAGAGGAGTAAATTAAACAAAGAAACATGTGTCAGAAAGAGTTGGGTCATCAACACAGCTGTCAGACTCTGGAGCCTGTGATCCAGCGACACAGCTCTGTTGCTAAAACTGTGGACTCAGAGCAATGGTGTGACCTGCCCCTGGTGTTAGCTGTTTCCAAGACAGTGATTCTGGGAGACCTAGAAGCACAATAGAGGCATAGTATAACCACAGAAGATGGATCCCTCTTCCCCTCGGGGGGATATGTCCTAAGACCCTAGCAGATGTCTAAAACGGTACTTTCAACCCCTACATCTATATAGACTACATTTTCCTTGCCTATACGGACCTAGGATTAAGTTCAGTTCATAAATTAAGCACAGTGAGAGATTATTATCAACAACCCATAATGAAATAGAACAATGGTTAAAAAAAAAAAAGTCCTGTAATAAAATTGTCCTTGTGGTTTAGGACCATTCTTTGCATGCCTGAGATGGGGAAATGTATGTACATGTATGAGCAAGCACATAGAAGCCAGAGGTAAACCTTGGATGTCATTCCTCTGGAGCCACCTACCTAATAGTTTTCCATTTTATGTTTTTAATATTTTAAATATTTTCATACCTCAGTTAACTGTAAGAAACTAAAACCATAGAAAGAGAATGAAGAGATGAGGGGAAGTGCTGTGGAGCTTTAGGGGATGGAAATGGACATTTGGAGGGATCTTATGGAAACAGGTGTCAGGATCCCAATACCAAAGGCATCAGTCATGCTCCATGTAGGTCTATCCTCTCTGTAAGTCCATGGGGACAGTTTACACACTAAGTCAAGCTCAGTCAAGTTCTAATTGTGAGATGAGCCCCAGGACAGCCTGTGCCTGGAGCTGGACCACATAAAGAGCTCCTCCAGCCTAGACCAAGGCAACCCCTCATCCTTTGCTTCTGTAATTCAAAGCTCTGTGACTAGTAAGCAAGCCCTCCAGGGAAAGCAGCAAGAGCCGGGGGAATTTGCCTGCTAGCAAGACCTGCTTCACAGACCTCAGGCATAAAGCCAACTGCCAGGGCCTCTGCTCGGGCCCTGCCCATGCAACCTTCTATTCAGCATCCTCACCAGATGATTAGTGGCAGCTTCCATCACACCAGCCTGCTCCTGCATGCCCTGCTTCCTGGATCTACTTCCCGTGTGTCTTTCAGGAAGTAACATCACTATGCTATGAGACTGTACAATCCAGGAACGGGGAGCTCACTCATCTTCCCTACACCCTGGGGGACATCGGCAAGTCATGTGGATATTACATAGGATAGCACCTGAATGCGTCATGTGGCTCATTTCCAGGTTCATCACACAAGGCACAGGCTCACCTTTGTGTCTCCAAAGCCAGCCAGTGGTGTCACTTTCAAATTCAAGGTGTTTGATGGGAAGGAGAGGGCACTGTGCTACATATGGGGTAATGCCACACTCTCATAGGGCATGCCGGTTTTTAACCCTTCCATTACCCACTCCTTTCTTCCGCCTACCTCCCATCTTCCCTCTCCACTCTTTCTTTCTTCCTTTCTTTATGCTATATAAAATCTCATCTATGTTTAAGGTATACAATTTGATGGTTTAGGGGATGAGTGCACATTCATGAGTACACACTTCAGTCTATGTCATGGATATATCCTTCAACTCCAAAACTTCCCTGATGCCTTTGTTTATAATTAGTTTGTGTAAGTTAAGAACACATAACAGAAACCTATTCTTTTAGCATGTTTGTTAAGTGTACACCATAAAACCATTAGCTACAGGCATTGTGTTTTACAGATACTTAAGGTTTCACTTCACCCTCTAATACTTTCTTGTTTGTCTCTCAAACTGAGTTAACTGAGATGTGTGAGCTGCCACTGTGTTGATCTTCCAGGATGGCAGGTAGATATCAACCACATGCTACTTAGGGGGCTGGTGAGATGGACCATTGGGTTACACTGAGTGCTTGCTGAACAAGCATAAGGAATTGTGTTGTAATATATTATTTTAAGATGTGTTACATTTGTTTGTGCTGTGGAACATTTAATGATGCAAAGATGTGTTGCATTCTTTTATATTGCATTTGTTTAACTCTGTGAAGCTGTGTTACTTTGCCTGTCTAAAACACCTGATGGTCTAATAAAGAGCTGAATGGCCAATAGAGAGGCAAGAGAAAGGATAGGCAGGGCTGGCAAGCAGAGAGAATAAATAGAAGAATAAATTTGAGAGGAAAGGGAAGAAAGGGCAAGAGAACAGGGAGAAGAAGATGCTAGGGGCCAGCCACCCAGTCACAAAGCAAACCACAGAGTAAAAGTCAAAGTAAGATATACAGAAGAAAGAAAAGGAAAAAGCCCAGAGGAAAAACGTAAGTGGGATAATTGAGAAAAGCTGGCTAGTAACAAGACAAACTAAGGCCAGGCATTTATAATTAAGAATAAGCCTCCATGTGTGATTTATTTGGGATCTGGGTTGTGGGGCCCCCAAAATAGCAAAAACAACCAACTACAGAACTGATTCAAATCTCTAGGACCTGTGCATGGTATGGCTATGCCTTCCTGTAACCATAGCATTTTCTGAGAAACAGAAACGAGGATTTCTGGAGCTGCTAGCTTCTGGCCTAACTCTAGGTTCAATGATAGACCCTGTCTCAAGGGAATGAAGTGAAAAGTGATAGAGCAGGACACTCAACCTCTTCCTCTCATCTCTGCATGCATCAACAGGAATGTACCCACCCACACACATGTACACAGACAACACACACACACACACACACACCAAACACACCAAACACACCAAACACAAAATCTTACCAGCTAAGCTTCAATGAAAATCTTCATATATTTAACAGATGAGATTAAAATAATTAATAACATGACTTACTAAGACCAGGCAAATGTACATATTTGCAAGCACATCTTTGTCAATAAAGCTAAAAAGTAATATAAACTCTACCTAAAAATAGATGAGTGGATTGATGTGTCACAAAAAGACATGCTAAGAATTAAGAAATATCTCAAAGTAAGTCAATTATTTTTATTTTTGATCCATTAATAAAGCATTTTAGGGACTACCTCATTTTTAAATTAATGTTTATTTCTTTCATATACATTTTGTATCATTAACATATATAATCCATTATTACATACCATATGTTAACACTTGTGAAAGAAACCAACAGTATTGGTCTAAAGATGAACTACTGCCTGTATTATTTGAACATATATAAAATGATATTAACACATAATGCCTACTATAAATAATATGGTAAATAGTATAATACATACTTATACTCACTGCTTTTCTGGTTGCTGTGACAGAATATCCGATAAGCAGCAGCTTATGCGCAGACTAGTTTATCTGGGCTCGGGGTTTGTGGTACCCTTGAACATGGTGTAGACAGCATGGTGGCAGAAGTGGGGTGTGCTGCTCACACTGTGCTAAAGTCAGGAAAGACAGAATGGTGAGAGGTGGTACTCAACTCTACCTCTCCTGTTTTACCAAGAATCCAAGTCTACGGGATAGTGGGTAGGTCTTCTCTCCTCAGGTCAATCTCTCTGGAAATGCCCTCAAAGATCTACCCAAAGGTGTGTTTTCCAGGTGATACAAAATTCTTTCAAGATCAACTATCACAATGTTTTATACAGATTATATGCTATATTGTGTATCTACTGACTGTTCATGGGACAAGGACCTCTATCTCATGCCTTATCTTCACTCATTTACAATGGCTCCTTCCTGAAAGATCCTTTCAGACCAGCACATAACAATGCATAGGCCCTGCTTCACCCAAGAAGATCCAAAAGTCACTTTTGAGAACAATGGAGTGATTTAGAGAAAGAGAGGAACAAATCGTATCCACCAGGAAACAAACTGAAACCCTTTCATCACTAAATGGTGCAATAATAGCATGCCAGGTTCTAATACAGAGCACACTAGAACCTTGGGCCATGAAACCCATGGGTGTATAATCAGTAGAAAATAAAGAAAACTTAAAATCTAGGCTACCTGTTGCATTAGAGGTGGTAGTTCAGAGAGGATAACCCTGCAACCTTAAAGACTGGTGCTGGAAAAGCTGTCAGGGAGATGCATCAAAGACAATGGATTCATGGGATTCTAGAAAAAAAAGGGGGGGAGGAGGGAGTGAGAAGTCTGACTAGAAAAAAAACAACGTCCTCCTGGGTGTTATATGCCATTCTGGAGTTTCAATAAGAAAGAAGTCTTCATGGCTGTGTGGAGGTGAATGGATTTCCAAGCATGAGGATGTCTGGGAATTCTGCTTATAGAAGCAGATAATGCTTTGATACTGCTGCTATGGAGTACGTTTATGCTCACTCAGCTTCTAAATACAGCCATGTTGTAAGATTTCTTTTCAGTATTTCAAATATCCCCAGGAGTGCTTCGAAAGGGGGTAAAGATGTGCCAAATGGCAATACTCCATAAAACTAATTACCTGGGAAATTATGTGGGGAAAAATACATTGTGATACAGGTGTTCCATGTAGTGAATAAGTCAGGACAAGCCCTGCATTTATGAGCTTTAAATGAAAATATTGAATATGCAGTGTCTATTAGCCTTGCGGCTCCACATTCTAAATCACTGGTTAAATGCATCCTCAACGCCTCAGTGCCACCAGCCATGGTGATTAGGCCACCAACCCCATTCTGTTCCGTCCCAAGCCAGCAGCCTCCTCACTGAGAGCATTAGGTTTGTGCTGTAACCCCCTCCTCCATTCAGCCAAGACCTTAGTGGTTCATCTGATCCTCACCTGAGTGCTCCAGCCTGGCTTCTGATGACTCTTAAACAAAACTCCAGACTGTCTACTCCCTCAAGGGGCTCTCTAGTGCCAAGTCTGTGGTTGTGTTTTCTCCTTCCATGAAAATGACAGCAGGCAACTAATAAAAGAGATGGGAAGTCATTACAATAAATAAAAAGGAATGAGCCACAGGATAAGAAATATGAACAAACATTAAAATAAATCCCCAAGTCCTCCTCCCCATCTGACTCTCAGCTGCTTGTCACCTGTCCCCATCTCAATGATGTCACTGAAGAAGAAGGAATGCAAGCGCCCCCAGCTCCACCATGATATGCACCGACGACGACTACTGACATGCAGTCTATGCTTTCTTTCCTGTCCTTGTCCTTGGTTTGTCTGTGCCCCACACTCAGCAGAATGTCTCCTCCGATGTATGGAATCCTACCCTCTCTCTCCTATGATTGCCATAGTTTTTCTCTCAACTGTATCTTCAGTTCCCTCTCTACTGACTTCTTCCTCCATGGGAGTGTGTGTGTGTGTGTGTGTGTGTGTGTGTGTGTGTGATCATATATATAATATATTTTATGATCGTCCCAATGAGTCATCTTGTCATACTCAAGCCAAATCTATGGCTTGATTAGATGACAAAAGTGGTAGTGTCCAGCTTCCTGAACTGCAATATATTAGACAGTTAACATCTTTAATTTCAAAATCCAAACTCTGAAATGCTTCAAACTGCTTCCCAACATTTGGAGGCTAACGTGACACCATAATGGAAAATTTCACACCTGACCTCAAATAATGAACCATATCGAAAATGCAGGTGCACTAAACTACTGCATCAGATTACCTCCAGACTGTGTATTTGAAGCCTATATGAAACATAAGGGAACTTTTAATGTTATTTAAGAAGTTTCCAACTTTATATGTTCAAAAGCAACTCCAGATTTCTGCACTTCTGTGTCATCCTCCAATTCAACATGACCAAATTAAAGCTCCAGGTTCCTGCTAACCACACACCTGGTATCCCTCCTTCATCTCCATCAATGACAACTCTTCCCTTTTCATTACTCAGTCCCAAAGCTTTAGAGTCAGTCAGTCTTCTGTTATTCTTCATTTCTCACTCCATATCTAGTCTGCCAGACCCTTCTTCTGCCTGAAAAATATACCTAAGATCTGAACATTTTGCACAGTCTCTACTGCTAACCCTTCTCTCCAGGCCAACAGAATATCTTCTAAATACTGCAATAGCTTCCTGGCTGGTTTCTCAGTTTCTGCACTTCACCACTGTCCTCTTCTTAGCACACCAGACCGAGTGAACTATCAAAATACAATGACATCTATAAACAACTCTTCCAGTAGTGACTTGCCATGCTCCACATAAGTTCAGGATGCTTTCAGGGTCTTCCCTAGGCTAAATTCAAACAGAAATGGACTTCTATCACTTTCTTTTGGCACTTGATATGTAGTCCCCTAGAGTTGTTGATGTTTTAGAGCATGTCAGAAATATTTTCATCTTAGGGTATGTGCACAATCTATTGCTACCTATGTCTCTGATTTCTTTCCACTGGTTATACAATGATTCCATCATTCAATTCACATCTGGATTCCAATCTCACCTTCTTTTCAGTTGACCCTACAACAGATGACTTGCAGCATGCGCCAACATTCCTGCTTCACTTCCTCTTACTTTTCTCCTTTGAATTCACCACTATTTAGTATGCTACATACAATTGACCCACCTCAGCTATGGGTTCAGTGCCTGTAGATTCAACAAACCACACACCAAAAACATTTAGTAACTGGGCTGGATAAATGGCTCATTGGTAACAGTACTTGTTTTACAAGAAAGAAAGCCTGAGTTTGAATCCTAGCACCTCTGTTAAAAATAGGTGGGTGTGGCCACACATGTGCTTAAACCCAAGCACCACAAGGGTAGAGACAAGATCACTTGTGCCTTGCTGACTGCCAGCCTAGCTCCAGATTCAATGAGATACCCTGTCTCAAAGGAATAAGGTGAAATGTAGCAGAATAGGACAACATATGATCTGCTCTGGCCTACAGAGAGAGAGAGAGAGAGAGAGAGAGAGAGAGAGAGAGAGAGAGAGAGAGAGAGAGATACACCTCAAAAAATAAGAAAAGAAAATAATTTGGTAAATATTATACTAAATGTGAACATTCTTCAAATTGTCATTATCTCATAAACTATACAATGTAAGAAGTCTGCATATAACATTTGCATTGTATTAGGTACACAAGTAATCTAGAGGTGACTTAAAGTATATGGAAGATTAAGGTAGGTTAGGTACAACACAACACCATAGAATGTAAAGGTTTGGACACCTGTAGATTTTGGCATCTCTGAGGATTCTTGAAATTGACTATACAAACACTAAGGAATGCATGTATGCTATCTTTTTGCTTTTACATAGTGTTAGTTTCTGATACTAGAATATAAACTCAGGAAAACAAAGAGTTTTGCCATTTTATTAATAAGTATACCCATAGTACCTAGAACCTATGGTCAGGAGTACCTGGAGTACCTATGGTCAAATGTATTTATTAAGTGAGTCGCTGAGTGAGTATATAGTCTTCAAACATAGCTTGCATTGTAAGACAGCAAAGTGATCAGCTCTCAAATAAAAAATGCATCTTCTAAAAAAGACCTAGTGTAGAGAACAGAAGAAAATGAGAAAATATATTTCATGTGTGCAACAAAAACATGAGAGGACTTTGCCAGTTTGGGATAAAACAAGGAGACGCTGCGAAAGAACCACAACAGCCACGCTTTGTGCCACATTTGATTGAGTACTGTAAAAAATCAATCAGTGTTTTCACAAATAAGCTAGATAATAATCTTCAAATAGAAAAGGGGGAAATCAGGTGTTAGGGAATGATGTGACCCAATTATTTCATGCATAAAAACAACAGAAAGTCAGATTTCACATATTCTGTTTATAAAGTATATTTGCATTCTCTTCCTGAAAAAATTACTTAAAGCATTCTCCAGGCCACTGGATTCAGTAATGGAAAAGTGGTAGGGAGACGGGGAACTCAAAAATCCTATAATAAACATTGAGACCAAATAGAAATAGATCTAAATAATTCGTGTGAAGGGTAGTTGTAAAACTGATGAAACAAGACAAACAGAATAAAGAAACAGAAAACAGAAAGACACAGGAGTATAAATGCTGTTCACAGCCAAACATTAGGCAGAACGTGGGGAATCCTGTGAAAGAGAGGGAGAAAGTATTGTAGGAACCAGAGGGGTCAAGGACACCACAAGAAAACTCACAGAATCAATTAGCCTGGACTCATGGGGGCTTACAGAGCTGAACCACCAAGAGAGCTTGCAGGGGACTGATCTAGGCTCTCTGTACATGTTACAGTTGTGGAGCTTGGTCTTCTGATAGGACTCCTAACAGTGGGAGCAGGGGCTGTCTCTGACTCTGTGACCTGCTTTCGGGACCTTTTCCTCCTACTGCATTGCCTAATCCAGCCTTAATAGGAGGGGAGGTACCAAGTCTTACAGCAACTTGATATGCCATGGTTGGCTATGATATACATGGAAGGCATGTCCTTATCTAAAGAGAAAGGAGGAGGAGTGAACGGGGGAGGGGAAGTTGTGGGGAAGGACTAGGAGGAGAGGAGGGAGGGGAAACTGTGATCAGGCTCAAAAAAAAATTTAATTAATTAATTTTAAAAAAGAAATGATGTTTAAGGAGATCAAAGGCTTTATGACAGTTTAGCTCTTAAATAACAATAAATATAAAAAAGGTTTTCTAAAGTTTGAAGATATCTAACTCTCTTAATTAAAAATAGGATATTAACTCTAAAAAATGAAAAATTACCAAATTTTGGAGCTATATATGATCAAAATAAACTATGAAACATGTGCTTCACAAAAGTGTGATTAAAAGGGCTATGGGGTATAAAGTTTAATGATATCTTTTAAAATAAAAAATTTTATATGACATTCAAATATCTAGTGTTCTTATTTGTCATTTAATTTGCTTGATCAAAGGCTGAAAATGGTTTATTGAAATGTCCCATCACGGTTGTGGCCTTGTGACACAGAATTGTTTCTGATGTGTGTTGCAGATCATTTTTATGAAATAATCTTTGTTGAAGAAGAGAGAGTATTTGACCCACCTCTCACTTCTCAAGAAAGGTGACCAGTGACAAAGGAAAGAATGGATCTTCAACAGAAAGAAGAGAAGGCTTCATCTGAGACAATAAGGTATTAGAGGCCAGAGGAGGTAAGACAGAGGGGAGGTGGCGATGAGGGGGTGTGGGAGGGTGTCACCTATGCTACTGTGGGAGGAACATCTGTATGCTATGAACATGTATTTCTCTCATTGGTTGAAAATGAAGTTGTTTTAGCCTACAGCAATACTTGATAAGGTTAGGCAGAAGAATCAAAATAGGATCCAAAGGAAGAGGGTGGAGTCGATGCAGACCCTGTGAGCCACCCAAGAAACAGGATGCTGAAGGACCAGTAAGCCATGGAGCACATGGCAATAAATAAATCAATAAGAATGGGTTAATTTAAATGTAAGAGCTAGTTAATAACAAGCCTAAGTCATCTGCCAAACATTTATAACTAATATAAGCCTCTGTGTGATAATTTGGGATATGACTGCCGGGTATTTGAGAGTTGCTGGTGGGACAGAAACGTCCATTTACAATATGTCAAGGCTATGGGTGTAGAAAGTGTAGGAGAACATTCAGTTCTGATGGATGGTCAGGGAAAGGAGTCTTCAGGAAGCTCAAATATGGGCTTATAGCCAGAGATGAGGGTAAGAAGTAAGTCTGGCCTGCTTGGGTAAGAGGCATATTTTGCCCAGTAGAAAAGCCTGAAGAGAATGACAGTGATGACAATAACAAACAAGCCTTCCCACACAAGAGTGTATTGTCAAACAGCTGCGTCCATGCTCCATCTGCACCATCATTTCTCCTGGGTCATAACCAGAAGTATGCTGCTTTTATAGTATAAATGCTCCTCAGCCTCCTTAGTTGTTAGTCTATTTATTATAGCAATGGATACTATTTAACACATACATATATGTGTATCTTAATTAAGTTTATATTGCTATGATCAAACAGCATGGCCAAAAGCAACTTGGGGAGCAAAGGGTTTATTTCACTTACAGTTCCACATCACAGTCCATCAGCAAAAGAATTCAAGACAGGAAATCAAAGTAGGAACCTGGAGGCAAGAACTGATGGAAAGGCTATGAAGGAACACTGCTTACTGGCTTTCTCCTTGTAGTTTTCTTAACCTGTTTTCTTATAGCACCTAGGACCACTGGCCCAGAAGCCTCCCATATCAATCGTTAGTCAAGAAAATGACCTACAGAAAAGTCAATCCTACATTTTATTGAATAAGATTATTTCTTCAGAGATGACCCTAGCTTATGTCAAACTGACTAGCACTGTGTGTGTGTGTGTGTGTGTGTGTGTGTGTGTGTGTGTGTGTGTGTGTGACTATTGCACCAGTATATCTTGCAGGCAGACCTCTGTTGTAGGTCTCTGAATTTGTAGCTGAGTGATATTGTACTTTCTTTTTTCCTCCATTAGCCTGAAAAGTTCTTTCAGTATCATAAATGCTAATCAGTAGAAGTAAAGTATCTAGTTGGTACTGATTTCTCCATGTTCAATGATGTAAATAAGTTGAGTTTTCAGCAATAGGGCCTTAACATCAAGTTATGGAGAGTTGCCAGGCGGTGGTGGCGCACGCCTTTAATCCCAGCACTCAGGAGGCAGAGCCAGGCGGATCTCTGTGAGTTCGAGGCCAGCCTGGGCTACCAAGTGAGTTCCAGGAAAGGCGCAAAGCTACGCAGAGAAACCCTGTCTCGAAAAACCAAAAAAAAAAAAAAAAAGTTATGGAGAGTAACCAAGAGGTCTGGCAATAGATTGTGATGTTTGCAGGATGGGGGCAAAGGGTGTATTGTCTATGGAATTGAGCACTGGAAAGAGAATAAAGATTCCATACCTGAGTCCAAACCAAGTGTGGGCACTATGGGTCCTTGCTAGAGAGTGGTTCTGTGGGTCAATGTGAATCACACAGAATGGAGGTGGCCTAGAAGGAAAGGCTGAAGGGGGAGTTCCTGAGAGGCTATTTCCTGAAAATGTAGAGATGAAACCTAAGTTACAGTGATGTCAGAATATTCTAGATGCCAGGATTCTGAGATGTCCACCAAGGAAAGATACAGGCACAGAATGAATGGATTCAGAGAGTGTGTCCTGTGTGTATACAGAACTGGAGTGACTGAGCTACTTAAGTCCTTTAGAGTCCAGATGATTTCATCATAAGCCCTAGATACCAGAATGGGCTTGTAAGCTTTTGCATTTCCCATGATGAGGTTTTGTCTTGCTTTGGTCCAATCCTTCCTTCCTATGCCCTCTCTCCTCCCTATTGGAATGGGAATGCTTATTCTGTGCCACTGCATACTGGAAGTGTGTCATTTGTTCCGCGATGTTACAGGGGCTCACAGTTAATAAATCACTTTGAATCTCAGAAGATACTTGGATGTTGACATTTAAACAACGTTAAACTGTTGAAGACTATAGGAGCTTTTTAACTTGGACTGAATGCGTTTGGCACTAGGGCAATCGTGAGCAGAGATAAGAGGGGAAATGATTGATAGGTTGATGTGTCAAGTTGACAAGGAGTAGGCTTGTGATGGTTTGTATCAATTATCAACTTAACAGGACCTAGAATCACCTTTAAGACAAGTCTCTAGGTATACCTTTGAG